TTCTTGCAGAGAATAATCAATAAATAAAATAAATTTCACTTTGAACAGCTAAAAATATCTCTTCTATCATAAGCTAGTTTCAGAGATACAGTAAGTAAAGACACCGTGAGGATGGTGGCGTAACACCAGCATTGACACCTATTTGACCTTGTTAGCCACGTAGAAATAAAAAATTGTAGTCACGTGCTTTATTATTAGCAAGCAGAGCACAGTAAAGTCACAGCTTAGCTAAGGTTTTCTGGTAAGCAGAGGTGGGTGTCAGAGATTTGAATCCTGCTGAGTGACCTCGGGGCTTGTCATTTGAGATCTTTGTTACAGGCAGAAGGTCAGAAACTGTGGCGTGGTGCCTTAGTGGTATAGAGAGAGATGGCGGTTAAATGAGGGGTTAACAGCACCAAGGCTGAAGTGTGAAAAGGCTGGGCCCTGCTTCAGTGGGCAGAGGCCAGCTGGGTGATTGAAAAAGAGTGACAAATGGGTGCTGGTGTGCGCAGCTGAGACCAGCAGCAAAATGACTCACACTTCACAGGCAATGACACTCTATCTATAGACCATGTCCAATGGTGCAGTGGTGCCTGAAGAAGTAAATATACACATAAAGGGACCTGTTTTTTCTCACATTTTTATTTTTATTTTTGGACTCTCACCTATTTCATAATTCAGAAAAATATGTGTTCCATCTTTGACCTTGGTGCAATCTCTTAGTCCATCTACTGCAAGAAACAAGTCGTTTTAACTCCTCTCACATCTTTCAGGCAAGCTTTCTTCTGATTGGCTCCTCCTCATAATAAAATGTTTAAATAGTAGGTCAGTGCCCTTATGGGCTTACGTTCCCCTTCTCTACAATGTCAAACTTCTCTTTGTTACACATGAAAATCAGACATCTGTTCTCTCGCTTTGCAAGTCTATTCAATTTCAATTACATTATTCATATAACACCAAATCACAATAATAGTCACATCAGTAATGCAGAGAAAACTCCAGGCGACCCCCTATGAGCAAGCACTTGGAGACAGTGGGAAGGAAAAACACCCTTTTAACAGGAAGAAATCTCTGGCAGAACCAGGCTCAAGGAGGCGGGGTCATCTGCAGTGACTTGTTGAAGGTTGGGAGTATACAATAAAGTACTGTAGTTTATAGCATAAGCCAGAGTTTGTCGCTGTTACGAGGGGCTGCTCAGAAACATTAGTGGTCCTAATTCATGAATCTAAGATGTATTTACATAGATGTCACACAGAGTTTAGCTCATCTTGTTTTAAAGTGAAACTTGACTGTTCTCCATTGATTTTTCTGACTATCTGAAGAGAAGCAAATACTTCCTGGGTCCTCTGATTGGCTTCCCAACATCAGACAGGGATATTATGCCTTTGCTATACTTAGAAGGGGAAAAAATAGCACTTCTACCTGTTTCTGCACTCTCCAATGTCAGGATGTCTGTTGTGCATCAGAGGGGATTTAGATGTGAATATATGCAAAGCCAGCTAGAAAATAAGTAGGTATACACCACTCATATATCCTAATATATCCGAGAGTGTGCTTTCTCTTGATTTCACTTGCATTTATATCAAACAAGCACAGGGAGAGAGAGCGAGAGGACCACAGTGACAGATGAGCACACACCCACATCCACCAGGCCTATTAAGGCTGTCTGGGGGATATTAGATGATTATTGGAAATTACACATTTGTGAGAAGAGAGTAAAAGCAAAAAGAGACGTTTGGGGAGTGTTTGAGTGTGTCTCTGTCACGGTGTGTTTTCTGTGCTTTTATTGGCCCATTTTAATGTAGGGCAACACTAATGGTGCAAAAAATACTTCCAATAAATTTAAGCAGCTCTCAAAACAGAGTGATTCAAACAGCTCGTCGGTACGCATTCAGTGCATTCAAGCAAACTAGCCCTCTTTACAGGGGCCATAAATAAGTGCCCGCCTCCCGTTTTTGGAGGTCAAAACGGTAACACTTTGTGTTTTCCTCCTCAGCCAGCAGAGATGGGAGATTTCACCTCAGACCTGCTGCACACAAGCAGCCGCTCAGACATCACACTAAAACACTCTCAGCTCCACTCCACCCAATGTTGGTGCACGTGGGTGTCTGCTGGATAAACCCACACCCATACAGTTATTATTTGTAAAAGCTGAAAGCGGTAGATGTTGATTTGCATAGAGACGAGCGGATACTTTTAAAAGCATGCATAAGCACCCGCAGACACATCCTTTGCATGCAAAAATCCCTCTGGCATGCTCACTGTCTCGCTCTCTTTTTGTACTCATTGGTTACATTATTTGCCAGCCAAGGTCTGATTTATCTCAGCATTAGACACTTTTCTTTCTGCTCCTGATGCAGTGGGAATGAGGTTATGTCTACAAAGAACAGCACAGAACGTCTGTGCTTGAACAACAACAACAACAGCATCTGTCGCTAAGATATAGTGAACTAATGCTTTGTAGGGATTGGGGGGAAATGCTATAGATTTCAAAGATACCAGTAGAAGCTTAGCTTAGATAAAAGGGAAGAAATGGTAGCGAATTTAGCTGGACCTGTGTCCTACTAAATTACCTGTATAATTAAATAGTAGTAATACTTATTTTGCAATATTTATACAAGGTTCTGATGTGAACGTGGCCAAAAAAGCTCAATAATAGCAGAAATCTTGCAGCTTGCATTTACTGCATTGCTTTGTAAGTTTGTGGCCCTGAAAAATGGGAAAACAAGAAACTACAAACCTACACAGTAGTTAGGATTTTTTCTTCTGGTCTAGTGTTCTGTCATTGAAAAATAAGAATCAACCCTGGCTCAGATTTTTCATCTAAAAACAAAAAAACGGAGGGAAAATGACGTGTTGTTTGAGGAATTTAGTTGTTGTTCATCATAGTTGCTTTTCTATAAAAGTGTTGGTGTTTCCATCATCATTTTATCTGCCTGTCTCATGGCTCCATCTAACCTGTGTTCCCATTCTTAAGTCTAGCTAAAGTAATTAAGTACAATACAGTAATGCTAAGTCAGCCTTAAAAACAAATGTAATTCTCTGTCGCTTCTTCTTCCAATCGTCCACATTTGTCAGGATGTCATTAATTAAAATTATCGTATTGTCATTTAGCAGCTTAGATCTAAAGCAGGGGTGTCAAAAATAAGGCCCGAGGGCCAAAATCTGGTAAAGACACCAGTTTGCCTGACTGGATGGTTTTTCGAATGATGAAGACCTCATACTGCACCAAAGTATTAACCAATAGATAAACAGTTACTTGCAAGAAAAGGGGGCGGGTATTTTCTTAAATTACAGAAAATTCTGTCCAATGAGCTACAAGACCTTTTTGTGTAACTTTACCCTGTATTTCTTACAATTTCAGCCCAAAAAGTCATGCTAACAGATTTCTTAAATTGCTACAGCAGCATTTCTTTATGACACACAAAAACGTGAGATGTAGTGTTGAAACTGCACTTCTTTGTGCACTTTTCTTCTCTCATGTTAGATATCTCAGGGGTTAAATGTCCAGTGAAACTTATTTTCACTGACAGAAAGGCGAGTTTCTCACTGGTCCGGCCCTCTTAAGATCAAAGTGGCTCATAATGTAAAATGAGTTTGACATCCCTGATTTAAAAGCACTATCCTTTCAAATAACGGACATTACAACTGTCATTGTACTATAACTGTATGTTATGAATAATTTGATCACAGATTCTAATAGTATTATTCCAAATTTAATTTCTTCAGTCATTCATATACTGAGATTATTTTTTATTGGTTTAGTCAAAAAACTCATTCTGATCATGACTGCAAGCTAAAATAATTTCTTCCGTAGCTTTTTTTTTTTTTTTGCACATCAGGTGTAATGTGTTCGGTTTCGGATGGTGAAGGGCAGAATTAAATAAGGGCGAAGAGGACAGCGCAGAGCCCCAGGAAATTTCTGTATCTCACTTATTTGATCACACCATGTCATCTAAAGCCACTCGTGCTCATACTGAATTAGCTTTGGCAGCAAACCACGTCCGCCTGAGGAATAGTGGAAGTGTTTGTGTGAATGCAGGTGTGTGTGTGTGTGTGTGTGTGTGTATACCCTTGTATGTGTTATAGGGTTGCTGCGATAAGACCTAAGTGTCAGACAGAGAGCTTGTAGTGGCGAGAAATAGGCATCATCCTGTTTGTCCTTCCAACACGGTAAACAAATTACTTTTTTTTCTTCTTCTTCTTCTCTGAGCACTCTGTGTGACTCAGTCTTAATCCCCCAACAGACAGGAGGATGAAAGGAAGCAGACGTTTGGGTGGGGGTGTGCTACAGAGAGACAGGGGAGAGATGTACAAACAGTGAGTGCAGCAAAAAGCAAGCGGCGGTGGAGGTGGGAGGGGTACGAGAGTAGGTGATGGTTACTTGGCAGCACATCTTAATGACTGGTTATGAGGCTGTCACTGGGGAGAGAGATCGAGAGCTTAAACACAGAAAAGCGAGTGTGTGTCTGTGTGTGTGTGCGCGCAACTGAAACTTTGCTAATTTGCTTTCCTAACTATTTCTAAGCTCGTAGGCATAAACCATTTACAGCTAAACGGCTTAAATGTTGAATTGTGATTTGGTGTTACTCGCGCAGTATCCCCCTCTTTAATCCGCATTTGTGTCTTATTAGAAGAGGAGCGCCTTTTTCCTTTTTTTCCCCCCCTTTTCACGCCCCAGAAACTCTGGCGCTAGTGTCAGCAGTAACTAGACTTTCCCCTCAGAGTATAACTTTATAAAGACAGAGAGCACGGTAATGAATTTTCTGTCAGACGGAGACACAAAAGGTGCTTCCAGCAAACTTTTCAGATTCTGCTCTGCGCGGCTTGTCGGGGACTGCAAAGGTGGCACTGAGATGAATTCTTTCAGATACAAGTGCGAGCTTTTCAAGGTCGTGTCTTGTGATTTGCTTTCAAGGCTGGTGTAGGGAAGGGAGGCAGGAGAGGCAGACAAAAGCAGCCTGTGAGAGCAGCTGCCCGGCGCCTGCAGCTCCCCTCTTACACCTGGAACAGGTGCTTTGTTCAAGGCCAGTGCTGCTCTGAGATGGAAAAGTCAATAACAATAAATGCTAATGTTACACAGCGGCGGCGTGTAACAATAATGCTTCAGTTAATGGATTTTACACTTTCACATAAATAGTGTAATATATGCTCTTTATATAGATATTTATATATCCCAGAATCTGAAATTTTGCTTCCTCGTAAATGTGCTGCTGGGCTACATATGAAATGCTGTGTTTGTAATATATTCTGTTTTATTTGAACAACAGTTAACCTTTGTTATTCTTTTCTGAACCGAGCATCTTTTATCATATTTCAGGCCAGCTTTGAGGAAAAAAATGGGTGCGTATCAGACGTTAGCGATTTCTGCTTTTAAAGCTCACCTTTGGTCATCAATCCATGTTTCTTGACATATATTGAGGTGTCAAATGTCATCATTAAGGGCACATGGAGGTCGTTTTTATGGGGGAAAGAGTTAAGAGTAACATAATTCTGCAGGTCTGACATATAATTAGAAAAGCAAAAAGCTGTGTGAGAGAATACACAGCTTTCCTTTCCAAGCATACCTGGGCAAGATGAAGGATTCATAGCTTCACTTTTAAATACTGAGCATGACTCTAACAGTTACTATGGTAATACTTGTACACTAGTGTTCAGTGGTAAGTTGTAGGTTTTATTTCGATACATGTATTTAATAGCAGCTGAAACTGTTAGTCGCATTAAGGCAAAAAACATTTTGCTTTTAAATGTGCTGGTGCATTTTTGAATCTATGACACGTGAGATTGTTTTTAAGAAAATGTGTCCAAAAATGCACATTTGGATGTTTGTTTAACCCTGTAAAGTCTGAACTCTGAAATAATTGCCAGAATCTTTTTTTTAAGTGGGAGTGTTTATTGAACCTTCTGACAAATTAAAAAAAACAACAACCAAAAAACATAAATTTGCATAAATTAATTTTAATTGTATCATGTTTGTTATACCTGGAATTTTGTGCAATTTAAAAGTCACACTGATGATGTAGAGGCTTCAAATATAATACATGTTAAAGAGTTAAATGTTACATTTTCCCCTAGGATTTTATTCAAGCTAGTCTTTAAATGCTTAAATTAAATAAAATTAAGTAAAACATTACATATAATACAAGAAATACATTATTTAATTTAGTCAAAAGGAGGTTGTCTGTTATTTTTCGCCTTCTAATAATAGTTTCCTTTTTTAAAAAAATGTAAAATATATATTTTTTAAGATATTTTTTTAGATTTTTTTGTAAACCCCTGTTTGTATGCTGAAGGGTTTAATTTATTCTATAAATCAGACTCTTTTAATCTTAAAACCATGCAGAACAAAGGATTTTTTGCCTTGTTCCTCTGATTTACATCATGATGAAAAAAAGAGATGTACAAAATCCCATCAGTGGAGAAAAAACAAAACAAAAAGATTTGTGTAATGTGCCACAAAATGAAGAACCGCTAACTCTGAAGCCAGCACTACCCAGTGTTCAGATTTCTGTTATGGAAATTTATGCAAATCTGGGCATTAGTAGATTGTGCTGAATCTGAATATTTAAACATTACAGAAAACTGTGAATAGAAAAAAATAATCGCCTTATGCTTCGCAGTGGTATCTAGTTAACATTTTCCCCTTTTCATTAATTTTTTATTTATTTATTTTTTAATTAAAAGGTCTGCATGTCCACATGGGTGCTTTCAGTCTTGTAACTGTAAGGTCCCAACTTTTTGTACCTACCATTTATGTAGAGCAGTTGCCTCAAGGAGCTTTCTATTGTAAGGTAAAGAACCTACAGATGTAAAGGGAAACCCCAACAATCAAATGAGCAAACAATTGGCAAAAGTGGGAAGGAAAAACTCCCTTTTAACAGGATGAAACCTCAGTTCTGTTGGAGGTGAGTGCAGAGAGGCAGAATAAAGCTCTTCTGTGGTTTGTGTGAGGGTACCAGCAGAAATGATAAAGATGTAATAAAACACTTACTTTTTGTTTTCTAATATTTGGTATTAAAGCTGAATTCTGAATGCTGGCACTAAAAGTCAAGGTTGTATCTCTGTGGATGGCAGAGAAAAATAATCTGCATAAATTTTGTGTTCTGCACACCTACAGATGTACCAGCACGGCAGAGATCTCTGCGAAAGTCTGTGGGGTGATGCCTTCATGACGGTCGAGGATGAGCCGGAGGAGGTTGGAGAGGCCGGAGAAATCGGAGTGGATGTCGACGGCGTTCGTCCCTGCGGCTGCCTGACTCTCAGCCCCTCGGACAAGGACGTGATTGCCGCTCTCAGAGCCCAGCAGGACGACCCGGAGGAGCTGGATACCACCAAGACCGGCTTGCCTCAGTACCGGGCCCCTTGCCAGGCCAAGCTGCCCGTGCAGCCCAGAATGGGAAACTCCGTGCTGCGTAAGCGCTCGGTGGAGGTGGAAGACGTGGAGGGGAGTGGCAGCGGTTTGTAGATGGTGATACATGTATTCTTAGTGATAATCCTCTAGATCATCATATACAAAAATCAATCCCTTGAAAGGGAGTTATATCCTTTCTCCTCTAACTAAAGTAAACCATACAAATTTAAGCTCTCATTACTATCTTCAAATCGCAGGCATAACTTCTTTGATTTACAAAAATGATCTGATTATCTGATTTAAGTGACAAGCTTATGAACACCCGATCGATTCTTTGAACAGCCAGGATTAAACGAAACACCAAGAAAAGGTTTTCAAATGAATTTAAGAAAACTACTCAAAGCTGAAATCCTCAATATTTTGAAAGGGCTCAATAACAAATACACTTAAGACATCCCATGATGGCTGCAAAGTGTTTTTATTGCCAGCTAACAAGAGCATCTTTAGTGGGAATTTGCTTTTATGGCTCAGTGTAACACATGGTCACATGGTAAAAGTCCTGCAGTATTAGCACTTCTGCATGAGTCAAACATGTCAAACCCAAAGTACTACTTTTCATGACAATGTTGAAAACAATATATCACCATCCCGCTACTTATCTCAACTGTCTACTAGCTGGCTTTGATTTGTGCTTTAGTCACTTGTTAAATGCATTAATTAGTCCTGTGATTCCATAATGTGCAGTCTGCTTGTCATGGAGTTTATGATAGTGGAGAACGTCAAAAGTTTTAATCATAATTTTGAATGTATCTGAGATTTTTCTAACACAGTTAACTGACCTGAAAGCAAGTGTTCTGGTATGAGAACAACAGCACCTAATACCTGAGGGGAAGGTTTAGTATTCAGAAACAACATCGGAGTAAATCAGCAGGGGCAGCGTCCGTGCCAGATAAGGTTGCTCCGGTAGTTCGGTCATGTATCACCGATGTACTGTGGGTGTTTTATAAGTAGGCCATGTGTTTCTACAGTTGGGAACTGTTAGATGTAAATGTTTTATAAGAAAACAAAAAGGGAGAACTAATTTGTTTGATTTACCATAAGCTTGCTGAAATGGGTGTTTCTGTGCTTTTCTTTTCATTCTCAATAAAAACATTTCTAAACATTCCCGATGTTTCACGTGCCTTTTTTGTGGTTTCTCTCTCTTTTTTTCTTTTAGTTTACTTTATATAGTTGGTGAGATTTCATACATGCTTTCTGGTAACGGCAGTTCGTCTTGTAACCGGAAGGTTGCCGGTTCGAGCCCCGGCTCGGACAGTATCGGTCGTTGTGTCCTTGGGCAAGACACTTCACCTACCGCCTACTTGTGTTGGCCAGAGGGGCCGATGGCGTGATATGGCAGCCTTGCTTCTGTCAGTCTGCCCCAGGGCAGCTGTGGCTACAACTGTAGCTTGCCTCCACCAGTGTGTGAATGTGAGAGTGAATGAATAGTGGAATTGTACAGCGCTTTGAGGGCCCCGAAAAGCGCTATATAAATGCAATCCATTATTATTATTATCATTATTATTAAATGTGCAAACAATTCACAGGTCAGAATTAGATGAGCAGTTAAGAAGAGAGTTAGGGATTATTGGTGTGATATATCATCAACAATTTCGAGATTTCCAGGTTATTGAAAAGTCCTCCTTTAACAGTTTTTAGCTATAGTGACTCTTATATATTTAACAGGGATCAAATAAATCCAATATACTCATTATCAACCGTCAGAGAAAGAGTCCCTAATGTGGAAAAACAGGGAACTGTATAAACTAACCATTAATATTTATGACTGTAGGCTTGTGTTAACCCTGTGATGGTGTGGGGTCCTGTCCAGGGCTGTCTCGCTATGGGTGAAGGAGATTACCTTGGGACTTGGAAACAGGTCTTTTCATATCTTCATTTTTTTTAGTTTTAAGCTTTTATGGTTTTGACTCTTTCAGGTCTCTCCATAAACTTTGCCGCTCCTTTCCCTATTTTGAAATCCTCCTTACCTGTTACTCCTATTACACCACCTGCTTACGTGGTCACCGCAGGCTTGGAAACTTTAGGTGGAGTGGCCTCTCGTCTTTGGAATTCTCTCCTTGCACAACATTCACAATCAATCTCAAATCAACATAGGCTTTCTGCTCGACCATATACCATTTCCCATTTTATGGTACTTGATGTATCAAATACTTTTCAAGATTTTTTTTTTTTTTTTTTTTTTTTACAAAGTTCCAACCAGCTGTTTTCAGGCACCCCTTTTTCCTGCTCATTAAGATCTGATGTAATGTTTGAACATAAATATCTTTAAAGCTATTAAAGATTTTTTTTTAAAATTATTTTTTAATGACGTTTCAACTGGTTTCTTCTACAACGCAAAAAATAAACTAAAGTATTGGCTAGTTAAGTTATGAAAACCATATTTTAGCTGTTCTATAAAGTCCCATCTTTGAGCACGCACTACTAAATAAACTTCACATTGCAAAAGGCAGCTAGAGACAGTGTTCGAATGGTTCGAATGGCACAGAGCCCTGCAGAGGTGTGTGCAGCCCTACATCGATATGCTTTCCCAGACCATCACTGATCCACCACATTGTTCATGCTGAACGGTGTTACAGGCAGCATGACGTTCTCCGCGCCTTCTCCAGACCCTTTCATGTCTATCACATGTGCTCAGGGTTAACCTGCTCTCATCGTTGAAAAGCACAGAGCACTCTACAACTCCGCAAACACACCCACTGAGGGTACAACCCTAACCCTAACACTAAACCTAAGCAATCGGGGTAATAAGAAAGTCAGTTAGTAAATGTCATTTCTTTAGCACATTTAAAATCAAACTGCTTTGCACTAAAATAAAACATAATAGATTCCTAGCAGCTGAGATAGACTCTTTCCAAAGGTTAGCCAGAAATAGTTTGTCTTCGGTTTTTATTTAAAAGCAGTCATAGCTGATGTCTGAGGTCACTCAGAGGTCATTCCAGAGTTTTGGTGCAACAACAGCAAAAACATGAGCCCCTTTTAAACTAAGCTTCAGCCACGACATGATCAGGAGTGATGAAGAAGATAGCCTTGATCATCTGGATGGAGCGTATGGGCACAGCCTGTGTACCACATACACAGGTACAAGACCATTAAAACCTTTAAACACAAGCAATGCCACTTTATACAATTGTGTAATGAGCTGGTGCGAGGCTGCTAACACTGAAGTAACACGATCGCTCTTTTTATGTCCCAGTCAGCAATCTCGCTGCACCGTTTTGGACTAATAATAAACAGGCAAGAGATTATTGACTGACTCTGGTGAACAGCGTGTTACAGTGGTCCATTTTAAAGGCATGCATATCCCTTTATGTCATTATTAGATTATGTCTTTTTTGTTTTTGATTAAATTGTTCTTCTGAGTCATGGCAATCAGGGAACACACTTCAAAAACTTTTTTTTTCCACAAAAGTCTTGCACACTTTTCTCCAATATAGAGGGTTAGGGTAGGGTTGGGTGTGATGACTTAGCCCACAGAGGATTACTGGGCAGGGCAGGCTGAAGCTGAAAAGCAGGCGTCACTTGCTGGTAGCTTTACTCCCGTTCCTCCAGTCTTACTTCTTTCCTTAGTGGCTGTATA